TCATCTGCCACTAATCCTGAGCGGGAATTACATTTTTACTATACTGTAAATACTGTATGTGTAAGGAACTGGGTTCAATTCCAGGTAGTGGCACCTCCTTGTTGCCATCCTACCTCCAGAGATTAGACATGTCTATTGAAATTAGCCATTAGAAATGGTAGGGAAAAGAGGGAAAAACAACATTAAAAACCTGCTAAAAAAGTGTTGCCAAGGCAGTTTACTGCCTTAAGGCCATTACTCTATTCCTAAATATGATTTTATATACAGTATTTCACTAATAATTATCTATTTTTTTATTTTATTTGTTTATTTGAGAGTGACAGAGCACTTTAATGAACATCAATATAAAAAAATAAAAGATGTAAACATGCCAGAGATAGCAAAAATGCTAATTTAGGTCCGTAGTCCCTAGGAAGGTAATAAACATTACAAATGACAATATACATATACAATACGCAAGCAGAAAAAGACTAAATACATTATGTCAAGTTCATGTTCCTTTAAGCCATTGTTTAAGATAATGTCGTTGTCATTGTATAGGGTAGGCCATACCAATATTACCTTCCCTTTACTGACAGCAGTATAAGTGTGGTGCATCTATGTGTCACCTCACAGTCCCCTCTAGTGGTGGCCAGTCATTGTCATTCTATCTGTAAAATTATCCTCATTCCATGGACCTTTTCACAGCAGCCATTTTTGATATGAAATAGTAGGGTAAGTGCTACCAATGATACTAAATAAGGCTGTGTTCCATTCAGGTCAAACAGAGTGAGGGTGCTGCTATGGTGAATGTTAGCTCCCAGGAAAGGCTCTGCTGCACTGAATGGCATCATTAGTTGTAGTATTTGGCTGAAGTAATCTACTGGTCATTATGGTGATAGCAATCAAAAATGCACCAGTGGCACTTAAAGGCAACTTCAAACAGCTTCTTCCACTGATAAAGACGTTGAAAGCTTCTGAAGTGTAGTAGGTGGACCCCGATTGTTTTGTCAAACTTCCAACAAACTCAGTACAACACTATTTTTGAATGATATTTCAGT